GATAAAGGGCCTGGGAACCAATTGTAATCATGGAAAAAATTCTGTAAATTTTGTGGAAAATTTTGTGATTTTTGAAAAATTTTGGCAGGTTTCGGAAAAATTTAGTATGTCAGAAAAAATTGGTATGTCCGGAAAAAATTTTTGACCCCTAAAATGGTACACGGACCGAAATTTTTTTGGCGCCTGGGGGGGGGGTCGCCAAAATAAATTCCGGAAAAAAATTTTTTCATCTCAAACCGTCGGTTACATTCTTTCTGCAGTGAGTGGGCCCTCCCCAGAAATTGAGAGCCAGCTACGGGCTTGCTACCCTTAACACTGTCGATTTAACAATCACTGATAAACCCCTTTTGCGGCATAACAATGGTAGGGATAGTTTGGCAGACAATAGCTTTCTTGACAGGCCAAACGGTAATTCAAGTTTACCTAGAAAAGTTTTGCAACACGGGAATGGTGTCTCGTCGGCTAATCGTTTATCTCAACTGCAGCCCAAGAATTTGGTCCCGTGCCCCTTCCTAAGAAAGAGGGGACATTGTTTAAAGGGTTCTAGGTGCGACTTCTTGCACAATGAGGTTCAACCCCCAAGGAACCGCTCTCAATTCCAACAAATCCCTATTGGTGCCTACTCGCCCCTATATGTTGCGCCCCCCTATGTTCATAACCAAACTCCCCTTTCCTATCAACTAAATTTTTTTACCCCGATGAAGTTTCCAATGTTTTACCCTCCTCTTCGGCCGCTCCCGTATCCACCTAATAATACGCTAAATAATGTTGACCTAGGTTCAAACCACTCAAATATTCATGTGACAAACGAGTCCCTAGAAAATCTACATTCTGCTGAATATGTCTCAGCTGAACAATCGTCTATTCCGAATATTAGCGAACCTGTTCCAAGTCTTATGCTATCAAATACAATGTCTTTGGCACCCAGATTCCGGGATATAATGTTGTAAGAAGAGATCGCCTAATTGGCCAACATGGAGGAGTGTGCCTTTATGTGAAGGAGTCAATCCCATTCGAAATGCTCAGTCAATACCATAATGATCAATTCGAGGTCTTGTGGGTTAAAGCTCGTCCTCACAAATTGCCGAGGGGCCTATCTTGCATTATCATTGGTTCAATTTACCACCCACCCTCAGCAAATGATAGAAATATGATTGACTTCCTAACTGAACAATTGTCCCTTATCGAATCAACTTATTACAATTGTGGTCTTATTCTACTTGGAGACTTTAATAATCTTAATTGTCATCGTCTAAATAACCACTTCAGTCTAAA